CCTCCCAAGTAGCTGGGACTACAGGTGCCCGCCACAACGCCCGGCCATTTTTTGGTTGCAGCCATCATTGTTGTTTGGCGGGCCCGGGCTGGGGATACAAACCCGCCACCTTAGGTGTATGTGGCCACTTGAGCCACAGGCCCTGAGCCTGCTCTTGTCTTTTGATGTCTATCCCCCAAAGGTGCACACCCTACTGCCTTTGCATAATGTTCCCATGGCAACCAGCACGCCAGGGCAGGTCATCTCCCCAAATCACACCACACACTGTGTCTGTTCATAATTACTGCCCCCCCTTCTCTGCCCAGCTCTGCTCCCCAGGAAGGCATCAAGCACAGGGCTCTGGGTTTAGTCCAGAACCCCACCCTCGGCCATGGCATCCAGGGGTCCTGAGTAGGACGGTCCAGGACCCAAAGAACAGGCTTCTCCTAGCAGTTAGCCAAAGCCATGCCTGTGGCCACCTTGGCTCTCTGTAGCCCAAGCAGCCCTGGCTTCACAGCAGCCTTTGTTCCCAGGGCCTCCAGCTGGAAGAACGTTTTGCAACTTGTTGGACAAAAAAATCAAGGCTTTGCCTCCTAGTGGGTGATAGGACCCATACCAGAGGGAGTGGCAGGAGGCCATCCTCACCAAGGCCCACCAAGGAGTAGGGGAGAGGAAGGCAGGGCTCTTAGCAATTCCTATTTTGCATCCTCTGCCCTTCTCTGCACAGAGTACTGTGTCAGACTTGGACATCCCAGCTTGCCCTCTTCTTTAGGCCTCCTCAAGCCCGAGGCCGGGCTGGACCCATGACAGACAACCCCTTCCTATATTCCAGAGTGCTGTTTGTACCTCCAAGGGCAGGGAGCTCACTCCACCTGGCCTGGGAAGACGCTCCCTCTGAATTAAAATGTGCTGGGAACATCCTTCCTTAGCCCTAGCTGGCCCTCTTCCACTTCCAAAATTCTGGGGTTATTGCAGATGTGTTCATGGGTCCTCCGTCCAACTTCTTGAGGCCCCAGATGCTAGACCAGCTCCCCCCACCTCAGCTAGACAGGAGCTCCCTGCTCCTCTGGCTTCCACATAGCCCGTAGTGGCCCCTCAGTGTTCCGACAAGACCACAACATAGCTTTCAGGTCTCCTTCCTCTTTATTCCTTGCGAGGCCCAGAGTGGTCAGGATGGGTCTGGGTACTATTCATCCTCCACCTCGAAAGTGAAGGGGCTCAGCTTGTAGCCAGTGCCCAAGTAGAACTTGTTCTGGAACTCCACCCTGGGGGTGAGGAGGGGAGGGGCAGGTGAGGGACCTCCTTCCCTCTCCGCTCCCCTTGCCACCCAGGCCAGGAGCAGGCTCTCACCAGTGCAGCCTTAGGGCATGCAGGAAAGCTGAGAGCCCCTCCATCACCAGCAGAATGGCCACAGTCATCACAGCGAAGGCAGCAAAGATGGGGACCAGCACCACAGCTGCCACGCCCACATCCCTGCTCATGACCAGGGCCACGTGCATCACCATGGACCACAGAACCTCTGAGAGCTCTGTGGTCAAAAGAGGGGACCAAGGGCAAGTGGGCACCACCAGCCCCAATTGGTGGCCAGAAGCCTTCCCTGCATGTAGGGGCCAGCAAGGGACCTCCTCAGATGAGGCCCAGAGCGATGTGACCCACCCAGGCCACCAGCCAGCAGCTGTGTGTGAGATAGATCTGGGCCCGGAGCAGTTGGCCCACCCTAGCCAGGTCACTTACGGGCATGGGCCAGGCTCAGGGCCCAGAGGCGCAGGTAGGAGGCCGTGTTGGAGATGCAGCCTAGGCAGAACTCAATGGTGTGGATGGCCTGGTGCATGAACACCTCGGAGGGGACCAGCTGCAGGGCAGGTGGCAGTGAGTGGCCAGCGGGGTGCCAGCTGCCCCCACCCACAATCAAGAAGGCACCCAGCCACCTCAGCCTCCTCTTCGTCCTCCAGGTACCCCGCCTTTTCCTCATCAGAGCCCCAGCCATTCACAGACATGTCAGGGGAGTCCAGCAGCCCAGCCTTGTCTTCCTCCTGAGGCATAGAGCAGGCAGGGTCATGGGCAGCCCCCCACTGCCTAATCATACCACTCAGGAGCTGAGGGTGAGGGACATGCCCAACATACTGGACAGCCCCCTCCCAGCCATGCCCCACCCTACCTGCCTGCCATGGGGGCTCCTCCGTGAGCGGTGGTGTCGCTGCCTGCGCAGCAGGTGCAAGGGCGTGCCAAGCAGCAGCACGGGCACCGTGGCCAAGGCCAGGACCACCAGCGTGGACTGTACTACTTCCTGCCAGTGAGACTCCGAGTCAGTTGTCTCCCAGCGCGCACAATCTCACATGGGCCCAGGGACCCTGCAGTCCCCCCTCCCCAGGGTCCTGAGGGTGATGGCTCCCTAAAGACTTCTGAGGGAAGCTTCAAGCTTCTAGCTCTTACTGTGTGGCACTCTGCTCATAGCTGTGTGCCTGCCCCTTCTGCATAGCCCTGGGCCTGCGTCCCTTTCCCAGACAAGGATCCTGCCGCTCCAAATGGCTCAGTCATCACGGAGCCCACTGCCCTGCCCCAGCCCACCTGGCCCGGGAAGAGCGGCTGGTTCGTGGGGCTGCCGGAGAAGAGGAACATGTTGATGAAGTGGATGAGGATGCTGGGGGCCGAGGCAGCGCTGGCAGCTGACACTTTCAGCCACTTGTAGACTACCAGGAAGACGAGGTAGCCAAAGAGCCCCAGGAGAAAAATGAGCTCTGGCAGGGTCTCCAGCAGCAGCCGGTGCCTCTGGCCAAAGTGCCTAGTGAGGAGGAGGGCAGTGGTCACTGGGACCCACCCCACCTTGCCTGGCCTCCACACCCTGCGGACAGCCCCAGCCCTCACATGTGATTGAAGACTCCAAGAACAACCCCAAAGGCCATATGCGTGACCCCCAGGATGACAGACATCTTCATCTTGAAGGAGTTGAGGAAGCTCAAGTGGTTGGAAGCTAAGCTCCAGACCTGGGGCGGTGGGAGGGACAGATGGAACTCAGAGGCTCCCCAGCCACTGCTGCCAGGAAGTCCCTTTGAGTCCATAGCTTCATCTGTCACCTACCCATCGAGGGGCAACAGAGGACAGATGAAGCCAGATGGCTCCAGCCCCAGCCCCTCACAGCTGGGTGACCTGGGGCACAGCATCCATGCCTCAGTCTCCCTGTTTGTAGGAGGGGTAATGCTAATGTGTGCACGGAGGTGGTTCTGAGGAGCAAATGTAAAATCACTTCACAGAAGGCTGAGAGAACAAGCCTCACAACAAGTCAACTTCTGCACTCATCCTCTCTGTGTGGTTAGGATACTGGGACATAGGCCCAGCAGGGCAGGCACCTCGTCTGTTCCCTGTGCCTATGACAGGGTCTGGAACACAGGAGGTGCTTAGTAACAATTGCTGGAGGAGTGGGTGGCTGGGACACGGGAGTCCCCAGATTTCCCTGCCACCTGCCTCTACCACCCATGGGCACTTGAGTGGCCAAGACTCACAGGGTCAATGCCAAAGGGATAGGGTCCCAGGAAGACACCAGTGATGTTGGGGTCCAGGGTGAGCACCTCGTGCTGGGCCAGGAACGAGTCACTGCAGCAACAGTGGGTGGGGCAGTTAGGGCTGCAACAGGGGCCAGGGGTGGTCTGGGGCCAGGCCGGGCCAGGCCAGGGTCTCACCTCCAGCCAGACTGGTTGGCCATGGTGGCTACGCTCCAGCCCGAGGGGAAGATGGCGGTTGCACGGCTAAAGCACTCGTTGTAGATAAAGCCGGTGTAGATGGAGAACAGGCCCATCAGCAGAAGCAGATAGCGGCCCCCAAAGAAGGTCTGCCAGATCTGGGGGCAGCAGGGCACCATTAGAGGCTATCTGGCCCTGCCCCCCACCCCTCCAGGACCCCAGGCCGACCCCTCACCTCATTCTGCGCGGCCTTCACAGCTGGCTGATTCTCAGAGAGCACCATGGCCAAGGCGAAGAGGAACATAAGCAGCCCATGGCCCACGTCGCCAAACATCACCGCAAAGAGGAAGGGGAAGGTGATGATGGTGTAAGGTGCTGCGAGCAGAGGGGCACAGTCAGCCAAGACCTCCATAGAGAAACTGGGTCTCCTTCCCCGTCTGAGGTGCCACAGAAGCACCAAACCCAGGCTCCCAGAACCCTAGGGACCGGCAAAGTGGTGCTCTGGAGGCACAGACACCAGACTCTGCATGAACCTGCCACTTAGAAGCTGTGTGACCTTGGGCTAGCAACTTAACCTCTCTGAGCCTTTGTTCCCATCTGTAAAACGGAGATGATGCTAGTGCCGATGTAGGCTTCCTAGAAATGAGTGAGTCCATGAGGAGTGGCTGTCCGACTGTAGGCCCTCCACATAGGGTCAGCTCTAGCTATCGTTATGCTCAAGGACAGCATAACACAAAAGCTCTGACAGGGAGGAGGCAGTCCTGGCTGGCATGTGGCGCATTCTGGAAGGCTGAGCTGGTCACTTAATCTCCGAAGTCTCGGTCTCCCTTCAGTAAAATGGAACAATTCCTCAAGGGAGTTAGGAGGATTCCAATACATAGACCCTGTCAAGGACTAAACTGGGACCCTCCCGCAGAATATGGCCTTATATGGAGAAAGGGTCTTTTCAGAGGTGTCATCGGGTTAGAATGAGGCTGTTTGGGTGGGCCCCAATCCAGTGTGACTGACTGGTGTCCTTATTAAAAGGGACACTTTGCACACAGAGACACACAGAGTAGTACATCATATGAGGATGAGGATGGCCATCTCCACTCGAAGGGGAAAGGCCTGGACCAGGGTCTCCCTGGCAGCCCCTAAGCCCTGCCAACCTTGCTCCTGGGCTTCCAACCTCCAGAGCTGTGAGATGACTTCCAGCCAGCATTTAGTACAGCTGCCCTAGCAAACTCACACCTCCCCAGAGGCTGTTGCTTTGAGAGGGGAAAACACATCCTCAACCATGGGTGTCTGGGTGATGCGTCATATCCCAATGGGACTGGCCCCTGCTGTGTGCAAGAGCTGTGGCCAGATGCACCTGATGGAGCCCAGGAAGGCTGGCCCTGAGGACCACATGAGCTGTCCTCATGTCCTGCCTCCACCCCCAGGGGCCCATGCACCTTGACTCTTGCTCACTGGGTGAGGCAGGACCCCTCCCTGGCCTGTGACCAAGTCCCTCCCCAGAAGGGCTCCACCACTGTCTCACCCATCTATGGCTGGGCCTCCACCCAGTGGCACTGGGAGATACTGAGACCCTCCTTCCGTCTGATAACATTGGCCACACCACAGCCAGACTACTATCTGGAGGGAGAGGAACCAGGCAGGTGACAGACCAGGTGTCACTAATGCCAGGGGTCCCGAGAGTAAAGGGGATAAGGGGAGAACCAGAGCCCCTGCCCCATCTCTTACTGGTTTCTCCTGGGGGCATCTCCCTTTATAGACCACTTATATCAGAATGTCCATCTCAGGGAGAGCCCAAGATGGCATTAATTCAAACTTTACAAAAAACACCATCTGGCTCGGCGCCTGTGGCTCAAGCGGTAAGGCGCCAGCCACATACACCTAAGGTGGTGGGTTCGAATCCCCAGCCCGGGCCC